AGAGAACTGAAAAGCCTAAGAATTCAATTTTCTAATCCACCCTCCAATGATTCCAGTACATTACTGAATCATTATTGTAGACTTTTTCTTGGTGTGTGATGTCTGTGTGTGTAGAGCTCAAATATTAAATAGAAGTGATAATTTAAAATAAGGTTAATAAACCAGATAGTCATTGTATCATATAAGCTCCTTGAAGGTAAGTTTTTGTAGGGAATTTAAGGCCAGCTGGGGCTACCTAAGAAAAACTTGTATCAAAAGAAAAAAAAAAGCTTATGGGCATGATGGTACATATCAATAATCCCGACACTCAGGAGGCTGAGCCAGGAGAACGGGTATGTATTTGGGGCTAGTATGGGCTACATAATTAGTACCAGGTCAGCCACAGTGACATTACAAGACCCTCTCTCAAGAATGAAAAAGAGAGAGGTTTAGGATTATTTTTAACAAATCAATTTTACCATAAGTCATTAGTTTGTTTGCATAGCCATTTAGACAACTAAGTGTTATAACTAGGTTCTGCTGGAACACTAGTTACAAGATACCAATCTTTGAGGTTTCTAAGGGCTATTCTATGAAAATAACTTTAAGTTTTGGGTTTGTTCTGTTCTGTTTTTTATAGTTTCTTCACTGGAAATCTATGAACAGTTTTGGTTTGTCTTTCTAGAAATGGACACAGAATTATTGGGTAAAAGAATCCTCATTAAGAACTGAGTGTCTAGGGGCTGGAGAAAGGTCTCAGAGGTTAAGAACACTACATGCCCTTCCAGAAGACCCTAGTTCAATCCCATTACTCACATGGTGCCTCACAACTATCTGTAACTCCAGCTCTTTAGGATCTGATTGATGCCCTCTTCAAGATAGCACAGGTACCAGTTACTACTGTGGCGCACAGCCATACATGCAAGAAACACACACACACACACACACACACATACACACACACACACACATACACACACACACACACACACTACGGTTTTTTTTAAAATTGGGTAACTAACATAAGACCTACAAAGATATATAACGTTATGTAGATAACCTAGGTTAAACACTAGACAAACATGATAAGAACACATTACAAGCAGGGAAAACTGAAAGGACCAGTCTCAAAAGTCACTTTCCTTATTTTTCTTTCTCTCTTCATAAGGTCGTTGAAATAATGTGAAAGTACTTACAAAAGTATAATGAAAAGTATAAGCTTATTATTTGAAGAGATTCAACACTAGCAAAGAATACATTAAATTCTTACCCTATGTCATATATATGTCATATACCTTAATCTTATTTTCTTTTTTTTTTCTTTTTTTTCAAGACAGGGTTTCTCTGTGTAGTCCTGGCTGTCCTGGAACTCACTCTGTAGACCAGGCTGGCCTCGAACTCAGAAATCTACCTGCCTCTGCCTCCCATGTGCTGAGATTAAAGGTGTGCGCCACCACTGCCCAGCCATATACCTTAATCTATGACCTCACTTTATCCTCAAAATCACTTGGTAGAAATCAATAGCATGTTAGATCACAAAATGCTGGGTGTGGTGGTATACATCTTTAATCCCAGCACTTGGGAGGCAAGTGGATACATTTTTCTTTGAGGCCAGCCTGGCTTATATAGTGAGTTCCAGGCCAACCAGGGCTACATAGTAAGACTATGCTTCAAAACAAGCAAACAAATAAAAAAAATATTAATTGCTGGATCCTAACTGGTGAGCACTTTGAGGGTAATATCTGACTGTCTTATTCACCAGTGAATTTCCACAGTGGGGTTGTAACCTGGTAAACAAAGAAAGATAAATGAATGTGTGAATGAAGAAAGGTATAATATTCACTCAAGGTATCTGACTGCAAGTCCAGATTTGTTTCACCTAAACGATTCAAAAATCTCTATGGGTATAGTGGCTCACATCGACAATCCTAGCACTCAGAAGACTGGGATATGGAGTGAGACACTCTCAAAAAAAAAAAAAAAAAACAACAAACAAATAAACGGACAAAAAAAAACACCCCAAAAAGCTAAAAAACAAATCACAAAAGTTCTAATTGAGAATAGAGATTGGTCAAATTAAATTTGGTTATCTTAATAGGGATTGGCTGGGTTTGGCAAACTGATGGGTTTATGATCTTTGCTAACCTTTTTGTAGACATGCAGGAGGAAGAACAAAATGGCCTAAGGCCACTGAATTTTTCATTTCAGTATTAGCTACTGCAGCAAGATAGTAGGCATGAAAAACTGTAGCATTATCTTCTATGTACTCGAGGCTCTGATATATTCTAGAAGAAAGGAAATCTAGGTTATGAAATAAACAAGAATGCATTCAAACTTTCAAAGTAAAAGACTGGAAGTAGGAAACTGTGAGCATTGAAGAATACATTATGATGTATTCTTTCCTGGCAAGAATGAATCAACTTCAGGTATATGACATTACCCAGTCTGGGAACCTAAGTGTACGCAAATCTTAGCTTTAGAGTTGGTAAATGATGTGTGAATTTACAAAAGACTTAAAATGGCTGGAGAGATGGCACAGTGGTAGGAGCACTGGCTACTGTCCCAGATAACCTGCGTTCAATTCCAAACACCCACATGACAGTTTACCACTGTCTGTAACTCCAGTTACAGGTAACCCAACACCCTCATACAGTCATACATGCAGACAAAACACAAAAGCACAATAAATAAATAAATAAATAAATAAACCTTGCCTCATGAACAAAGAAAGAGAGAAAGAAAGAAAGAAAGAAAGAAAGAAAGAAAGAAAAGAAAAAAGAAAAGTCATGAAACAGTAGTTAGCTGGCCATCAACAGTGTACTGAAAGCCAGCAGCCCAGTGAGTTTTACTCATAGTCTCTTCCATTAGAAGAAATTAATTCTGAGGAAAAGAGTGGGCACACAGTCAGAGAATCCTTCACATGCAGAAAACATTTTTTTTTCTAGGCCGGTGAAAAAAGAGACAAAAGATATTAGAAAAAAAAGACATATATGATGGAACGATAATGACATGGCTGACTAAACAGACTATGAAAGACATGGAAATTTAAAGAGGCTTTAGCTAAGTCTACATCTGACTGGGGTGGGGTGGCAGGCAAGGAGCAGATCTCTTCTCAATAAACAGTTGGCAGCAATTATGAAGGGAGATGGCAGAGCACAGATGGAGGAAGGGTCAAGTTCCTGCGACAGTCCTGGGGTGATTATGGCGCTAGTAAAAGAGCAACAATGAGGATGAGGTACATTACTGAAGCCTGCTCCATAGTCTTAGGCACCTATTCACTCATGATAGTAGAACTTGGTGAAAGTGTCAGAAAGCCCGGACTGTTGGAACATGCCTGAAATCCCCGCACCCTGGTATGCTAAGACCAAAAAAAAAAAAGTAATGGGTATAATGGGTAGTTTTCCAGCTTGCAAAGTGCAGGCAGGACATGTTCCGGTGTTGAGGCGGTCAGAGTAGGAGGAGCCTACAAGTTTCCACATGGCAGCTGGACACTCAAGACCAGGATTCCGTTAGAGGCCCAAGGGACAGGTGGAAGACCAGGGCTGAAGGACGGAAAAGAGAATGCTGTCCCCCATATCTACGGCTGCAAACTTGCTGTTCCCCAGTGCTGATAACTGGACTTAATTCAAGACTCTGGGCACACAATGACAGAAAAGGCTCTAAGGTGGCCCTGGGGTACCTCAGAGTGTCAGGGTGTGAGGCATCACAGCTGAACAGGAAGTCTGCGGCCTGCGCGTCGCTGACCATCCCGCCTTCGTCCACTGTGGAGGCAAGAGCACACGTGAGCACCGAGTAGGGCAGGCGCTCCCTGGCTGGGGGTTTCTTTCAACAGGAGGATGCTCTGGCTCCCACGTCCTGCCCCGCCCATCTTCCTACCCCAGAACTGCCTCAGGTCCTGACAGACACTGCGGCAGAACCAACCACGCTGCCCCTGGAACATGGCGCCGCCACCAGACTCCCGGGGATCCTGGGCGGGGGGGGGGGGGTTAGAAATGAGACCACTGATTGGTCCAAAGCTAAGCTTGATGATTGGTTCTCAAGAAGAAAGGGCGGGAAAGGCCTCAGGAAGCAGGCAAGGAAACGCTGAGAGAATAGCTGCGGAAGACAAAGGTAGCAGGACTTGAGTGCTAATATATATAATTTTAAAAGACAGGTTCATATAATATAGGATGGCTTGGCCCTCCCCATTTGGTAGCATGCTGATGCAACTGCCGGAATTACAGGCTGGTCCACTGAAGCAAGAAGAGGGCAATGAATCTGAGTTACAGGGCATTGTGAGCCATCATGTGGGTGCTGGAAAATGAATCTGGGTCCTCTGACAGAGTAGTCTGTGCTCCTAAACCCTGAGCCATCTTTCCAATCATAAGAATTACTTTTAAATGTAGTGATGGTGTTATTTTTGTTTATACTTATTTTGGTGTATGTGTGTGAGTGTGTGTGTAGCTGATTCCTGGTGAGTTCCAGGGATTGAACTCAGTCAGGATTGGTGGAAAGAGCTTTCTACCAGTTGAGCCAACTTACCGCCTATATCATTTTTTTTTTGTTGTTGTTGTTATTTTGAGACAATCTGTCTGTCTAGCCTTGAGCTTCAACTGAATATGGCTTCGATTTTCTGGTTCTCCTGCCAACCCCCTCAGACTGCTGTGATCACAGGCCTATGTCACTATGTCCAGTTTACATATTGTTGAGTATAGAACCCAGTGAAAGGGCCTTGGAGTCAGCAGAGAACCCACCCAGATGCCAGTCTGTGCACCAGATGCTATCCGTGGAGGTCTCTGGCCTGGCCTGAACGGAGCGTCCAAACTAAGGGGAAAGGACACAAACAGGGAGGGGGAACTGCAACCACACTGCTGCTCTTAGATGCTGCACTAGCTGTGCTGAGCCCAGCTGAGGAGGGCTGGCTATCAAGTGAGGTACAAGGGAGCTTCTAGTTGTGAAAGCTTCTGGAGAGCATTCTCTTCCCAGGAAGTAAGTGTTACAGCTCTTTTTTTTTTTTTTTTTTTTTGAGACAGGGTTTCTCTGTGTGGCCCTGGCTGTCCTGGAACTCACTCTGTAGACCAGGCTAGCCTCGAACTCAGAAATCCTCCTGCCTCTGCCTTCCAAGTGCTGGGCGTGCGCCACCACCGCCCGGCAGTGTTACAGCTCTTATCTGACAGATGCTCTCAGGCAATGGAGCAATTCTCTCTCTCTCTCTCTCTCTCTCTCTCTCTCTCTCTCTCTCTCTCTTTCTCTGACACACACCTTTATTCCTTCTGGATAAGATCTTATATACAGTTTTGGGGTGAGTTGGGTTCTAACAGCAGGTGTTCCTATTGGCTTGATCTGAGATGTTAGGGATGCCTTGTTTACATGTGGAGGGGCTTGGGGGCACTTCCCCTATGTGACTGATGGTCACAACTCTATAGGTGGCTGTGACTACTTGACAGGGGCCTGGTGTCTGGAGAAGATGAAGTTCCTACCATCTCTTTGGATCCCAGGGCTTCCAACCCAGCTCAGTTTCTTCTCATGGCCCACTGCCCCACATCCAGACACCAAATTCTTGGCAAAGATTTTATTAGCCCAGTGGGGAGGGAGAGAGAGAGAGAGAGAGAGAGAGAGAGAGAGAGAATGTGTGTGTTGCCTCTGGATTGGGCAAAGACAGCAGCAGGTGTCTCTTTGCAGAAGTGGTTTTTAAGGAGAAAATGGGAAGTCTGTGCCAGGATGGTTGGTAAGTCCTGATTGGACATGTTAGTCAGTGTAGCCAAATGAATTTTGGTAGCTGGAACTTGATGGTCAGCCTCAGGAATGAGTCACTCATAAGGAAGTAGTCAAAGCAGGAAAGCTTGGTGGCTAGTTTTAGGAATGTGGAAGTGCCTAAATAAGGGAATCCAATGGTTTTGCAAGGGAGAGAGAAGGCAAGATCTGTTGGGGCCATGTTTGCCATGCTTAGGCCTGTTAGAGCCCTTCGCTCAGGATTGTGGGTGTGCTAGGCAAGCACTCGCTCCACCAGCTAAGTCACCACCTCAGCCTGTTTTCTTAAGTTCCTAAACTAAAATGCTGGCCAGACTGGGACTGGAACTCATTGGTAAAATGCAGTGAAAGTCCTGGGCTCGTTTCCCAGGATTGTAAAGTAGTCTTAAATAAGGAGGGGAGGGGGCTCTAGGACCCAGCTATGAAGTCCCTCTTAAACTGAGGGTGACAGGTTTTTTTTTGTTGTTGTTGTTTTTTTGTTGTTTTTTGTTTTTTTCTTTTTGGTTTGGTTTGGTTTGGTTTGGTTTGGTTTGGTTTGGTTTGGTTTGGTTTTTGTTTTTTTTTTCGAGACAGGGCTTCTCTGTGTAGCCCTGGCTGTCCTGGAACTCACTCTGTAGACCAGGCTGCCCTCGAACTCAGAAATCCGCCTGCCTCTGCCTCCCAAGTGCTGGGATTAAAGGTGTGTGCCACCACTGCCCAGCCTGACAGGTTTTTTTGAGATTTTTTTTTTTTTTATTGCTCAGTCTAACCTATTCTCAGATTTCAGTATAACATTTTGCACAGTGGATTATTTGAATGTTTATTGTTGTTGAGAAGGTCTTCATATGACTTATAGGTTAGCCTCAGATTTGTGGTCCTATGCTTCGACCCCTAAATGTGAACATTACAGGCATGCACGGCCAGACACTGTTGTATTAAGTATTTAATCTCAAATGGGGGTTTCTACTCCACCTTTGATCATTCAGTTCCCAGAAAAAAGACATGAAACCTTTATATTTGTAGTAAACCTTAAAGGCACTAGAGCTGGGCAGATATCTGTGCTAGTATCATGTCTACTTCCCTGCCAATAACTCTGAGGTGTAATTTGCCATGTTCCATTTGGGCAGCTCTTGACTCCAATTGACCAGCGTTTATGGCCATGTTTTCATGACTCACCTACCCCGTGGCATCTTCTCTTCTCTCTATCTTCTCTTCTCCCCTCGTTGTGGTCTCTCCTCAGACCCTTCACGCCCAGGAACTGAAGCCCACCCACCTATGCTCTTCACAGCTGTGGGTATCTGTATTCACTAAGGCATAGTTATTCAAGGAATAACTTGCTGGGGCAAGGTTGCATAGCATCACTTGGGTCTACCTGAGAATCTCCTCATCCCTGGGGGATAACTAGGGCCAGTATTTAGCATTATAACACATAGTAACAGACCGGTCCTCAACAATATAGACTGATATATTTTAAAATTTCCAAATATGTATGATTTTCTAATTCTAAATACAGTTATGGCTTAGCTGCATTAAAATAAAATACTGGTCTGTTTGATCAAATCTTTTGAAGTTTGTTAGTGTTCTCTTTATAATGGAAGTATATGGCCAGTAAGGTTATATCTTTTAAAAAGAATGCCCTGAAGCTCTGATGTTCTAGAATACAATATTCTGTGTTTATTGGGTCAAATTACTCATATTGTCTGATTCTCTGTCAGTTAGTAGGAAACCCGTGTAAAATGTATCAATTAATTCTTATATGTCTTAAATTTTTGTGTAGTATAATTAGGCAGATACAAACTCATACTTGTTATTTTTTATTTGTTTGAACCAGTGAGCACTTAAATGTGAAAGGCAAACAATGTCAAGACACATAGAACACAAGAGAATGTTTCTGGCCCCAGGCAAAGGAGTTTTTTAATTGAGACATAGTGTTAAGCATGACAGAAAAAGATACATAAGTTTCACTCTATTAAAATTCTCCCCATCAAAGTCACCATATTTAGAGTGAATATACACAAGTCACAAAATGGGGAGGGTATCTGTAGTGCAAATAATCAACAAAGAATTAGTATCTGGTGTATATGAGTACCTTATGAGACATTAAGAGAGAAATGATCTAATCAGAAAATTTAGCAAATATCTGAATAGACTTTTCTGTAAAAGACCCACAAATGACCAACACACACACAAAAAGATGCCTAATCACATAGTATTAGGAAAATGCAAATTAAAACCACAAGATACCACTGTGTATTGACCTTATTAATAAAAAGTGTTTTGGCAAAGGCAGAGTCATAGAAATTCCTACTGCCACTCCTAGTGAGAATGTATATTCTGTACTAACATTGATCAACAATTCAGCTTAACTAAAGTAACATGTCTAATGTCACCAAACATATCAGATGCACACTTAGAGAAACCCTTACTCCCATGCTCACACACAGTGTTCATGGCAACTCAATTGCCATAGCAACAAAAACAAAAAGGAAAAATAAAAAGTCACTGTACACTGGATATTTAAATTTCTGTCTCTCCTTTACGTTTTAAAATTACATTTATTTCTTAATTTGAAGAATGACATGGTTTGCATGTGGAGGTCAGAGGACAACTTCAAGGACTCAGTTCTCCTTCCATGTAGGTCCTAGGGAGCAAACTCAGGCCACCCAGCATGGCAGTAACTGCCTTTCCCCTCTAGTAATCTCAAATTACTGCATTTTTACACTACGAAATACAATAGTCCTCCTTACGCACAGGAGATGGGTTTCAGCATCCCAAGTGGATGCCAATGATACTTGACCTTACGTATACTATAGTGCTTTCCATCACTGTACGTATGGAGCTATGACAAAATTTAATTTATGGATGGGATAAGACATTGACAATTAATAAAATAGAACAATTACAAGAATATACTAAACAAAAGGTAATGTGTTTTCCCTTAACCACCATGACACAGTTAGTGTATACTTGTGGATATGCTACTGTGGGAAAAGAGGAAGGCATAAGATTTTATCATACTACTCAGAAATGCAGATTTTTCTTTTATATATTTGTGCAGAGCTGTGGATTGAAACCCAGAGCCTCATACATGATAAGCAAACGCTCTGTCACTGAGTTGCACCCTCAGCACTCAGAACCACAATTTTAAATGAATGAATCATTTATGTCTGGAATTTCTCATGATATTTTCAGCTTACAGTTGACTGTTGGTAATTGTAACTATGAAATATG